TTTGTATGCCTTCAGGCTTCTGCATGACCTGGTTCCTACCTGTCTTTTTGGCCTCATCTCATGCCACTCTATCTGTCCCTGTAAGCTCTAACCACCTTTTCGTACCTCACAGGGACTTTTATCCAATCGAGAACCTGTTCTTGTTATTTCCTCTGTCCCAACTGCTCTTCAGATGTCATCCTTTACCGTTATTTATGTCTTAGCATAAATATAACCACATGTACAAATATGCCATAATGAAACTCACTAGCCTGTATAATGAATGAATGAATAAATAAATATAATAAAGAAGTTTACTGACCACCTCATCAAAAGAGTTGTTCTATTCCAATAGTATATTTCACAGAACTAGAAAAAAGAATCCAAAAATTCATTTGGAACCATAAGAGACCTAGAATACCAAAAGCCATCCTAGGCAACAGACACATGGCAGCGGGTATAACAATTCCCAATTTGAAACTATACTACAAAGCCACTGTGATAAAAACAGCATAGTACTGGCAAAGAAACAGACCTGAGGATCAGTGGAACAGACTGGAAGACACAAAAACAAACCCAGATGTACTCAGCTACCTCACCTTTGACAAAGGAGGTGACCATCCTCAGTGGAGGAAAGATAGCCTCTTTAACAAATGGTGTTGGAAAAACTGGATTTCAACCTGCCACAGATTAAAACTGGACCCTTATCTTTCACCATGCACTAAATTAAAATCCAAGTGGATTAAAGAGCTAAATATTAAAACAGAAACTTTAAACTTGTTGGAAGGTAAGTTAGGCAAAACTCTGGAAGACATTGGCATAGGAAAAGATTTTATGAACAAAACCTCAGTAGCACGGGAACTAGCAGATAGAATCAACAACTGGGATCTCATCTTATTAAAAAGCTTCTGTACTTCAAAAGAAACCATCAACAGAACTAAGAGACAACCTACAATGTGGGAAAAAATTTTTACCAGCTGTTCCTCAGACAAAGGACTATTATCAAGGATATATAAAGAACTCAAAACAATCAGCCCCCCCAAATATAAAGACCCCATTCAAAAATGGGCATCTGAAATGAACAGACATTTCTCAGACAAAGAAGTAAAAGCAGCAACTAAATATATGAAAAAATGTTCCACATCACTGATCATTTGAGAGATGCAGATGAAAACAACACTGAGATTCCACCTCACTCCACAAAGAATGGCTGCTATCAAGAAATCACACAATAACAA